GCATCAGCTACCCACTCAGATTGATTTTGAACAAGGCTGCTTCAGAATTCAAAGTGCGTCAAAGCCCCAAAATAATGCAGAAGCTGAACGCTTCGTGCGTTAAGCTTCTGCACCAACCCAAACCCCTAGAAAATTTGTTACCCCAAGAAACTAAATGAATGAGCAGCTCTTTCATAACACTCAAAATACTTAACTTAGGGAATGCCTCCATCGCTATAAATTGTAAAAAAATTTACTTCTCACGTTTTCACGTTTTTTTTTTTGCATCTATGCCATGCAGAAACGCATATTGTCGAGGGGTTGCCTGTCCGGTATCTTGAGCTGTCCTCAGTCTATGTGTGCATCCGTATCAAGTTTTTATCTCGATACGTACAAAAGCTACAAGGATGAAACTTCGGTAACTAAATCTATACGCATGCAAGGGCCCTTACCCCCCAAAATGGGCACTCACGCGATTCACACATACGGATTCGTGGAAATTTTTTGAGGATAAGTTGCTAACTCGGGAACCAGGAAAGCCAGAAAGCTAAAATTTTAAGGAGATGTTTTCTGACAGTCGTAATGCCCAGTCTCAATTCTCTTAGCTAGAAGCATCTGGCGGAAAAAAACAGTGTCGTTAGCTACAAAAATCTGCGAGGAACTGTGCAAAAAATGCATTTTCACACCAGCAGTCTATGCGCTGGCCAATTATTATCAGTTGACATATACTGAGGAAGTGGACAATGGTATGGTGTACAAACTGTGTTCGCCTTCGTGAGTAAAAAAGGTCTAGCGTGGCGATTCTTCCTCTTCTCTTCTCCCTTCACCATTTCCACTCATGTGAACTGAGGACAACTCAGGATACCGGATGTGTGTTGAGAATGTGACTGCATTTCAGAGGCATCGGTGGCTTGAACTGAGAAAACGAATGATACTAGCAGCTGCATGACTAGGCCAGAATGAATTAAAAGCTCGAAGTAGCTTATGTTCATATCTTTTCTGCAAATCTGCAAAAAAGTCGGCCCAAGTGATTTTGATGTAATAAATGCTATGGGTTGGTCCATTGCAGGGTCGGATCCGGATGACGATCTGGACACTGGGTACACCGATGAACAAGGCAATTTCAAGCTCTCCGGCGATACCAATGAAATGACCACTATCGACCCGCATCTTAAAATATATCACGACTGTAACGATGGCATCACTGTATATCTTTTTCCTGACTCCAAAAATTTTAATTTGCATATTCTTTTTAGCATGAAGATGCTTGTCTTCTGAGCGTCATTCATTACATCGCCACGATAATCCCTAGCTTGCTCCACAACACGGCTTTTACTTGATCAGCAATTCCGTTGCATAGAGCTGCCTTCTGTGGAGCAGAACAGCTGCATGAAAATTATAAGGCAGAGTCTTGGTTCTGTAAAATTATACCATCTCTCCAGGCATGATTGTCCATTTGTCATTCGAGCTGTTGCCGCTTATCGGTCTGAAGTGCTTGTGTGTACTTGACCGACTGGAGTTCCCCAATCCGCAACGAAAATGTTTTATTCATCATGGAGTGAGCCTCAGGGGAATTCCGGACTTCACTGTTCTAAGTCTTGTGAAAACAATCTGCGTTCAATACGAAGCAAAGTGAGCTGTGTACGCAAAGCTAAAAACATTTTCTTGCAAATCTTAAGTGAAGCTCAGTTGCATTTTAGCCATGCCAACGGCGCTGGAAATTCGAGTTACCGAATCACTACATAACAAGTGGCAAAGTTCCGCAAAAAGCGCTTGATATTGGTACTTGGAATCTGGAAGCTATTATGCCGGATGAGAGTCACGACTGCATACATTAGGAGCAGTCATCACACTTAATGAACAATTATTCGTATAACGGTGATTAAACAAATATATGTCCAGCTTGTTTTCTTGGTTCAAAAGAAGTAACTGGTTCAAAAAAATAACGCACATTTCAATTTTATCTGTATTGGGAAAATTTTGTAAAAACAATAAAATTGAATCGTAAAAGTGGCAAGGGGGAGACTATTTTGATGCCACCGGATCCTGAAAGAACGCCAATGACAGCTGAGGATGGAGCTGTGCTAGAAATGTTTGCCATAGACACATTCAAGTGGTTTGTCCTAGACGGCTAACAATCTGCAGCAAAAAAGCAACGTCCTTCCAATGTTAGGTAGTTACCGCCTGGCATTCAGCAGTTAACCCACCAATTTATATCATAAACAACGTATTTCCAAAGAAATTTCATTTATTTCGCCAACAAGCTGAAAGCAGCATACATCCAGAACCGTTCGGCACCTCTTTTTCCAGAACTTCGTAAATTATAAAGATATGCTTTGTCGGTGTAAATATTTAAAAAGTCTTGACTGTAGTGCAGTTTCTGGAAGATATTGAAAAATAAAATACATGTTACAACACAATCCTATTTGAAGCACTTCTTCCACCCTCCTATTCCTTGCGCAAAACTCGGTCCCTTCCTCTTCCCTGCCCTTTCTTCAATCCCTAACGCTAGGAACATCCCAGCTTGAGCAAATACCTTCTCCTATAAGCAACACCTCCCTTCTAACCAGCATCCCAGCTCCGCATCTGTTTTCTGCTTCCAAAGCAACATCTCAACACCCGTTCCCTGCAACAGGTAGGAAAGGAATTGGGTGAGTAGACTGAACAGCTACTGGCGTAGATCCTTTGACGGTTGCCTAGGCCATGTAAATGACAGAGGAGGTGATACGTAAGTGCCCTTTTGGTTTTTGCCGCGGATACTCGGGGTATAAGGGCTGAAGTAATGCTTGCTTCCAGAGTGAAGCCCAGACTTTTTATAGGGGGATGGAGCGAAGCCCAGACTTTGCAGGCACGTTTTCAGGACTCAGTAAAGAAAGGGAACAAG